TTTAAGGATATCCGATCCTCAGCCTTGAAGGATAACTCTTAATTTTATCATTTTATTCAAAAAGGCTAAAATGATTTTAATTTGGTTGTTTGTTTGCTGTTTAACGTCTCTCTCGAGAATTTTTCACTCATATGGAGACGCCACAATTTGCCAGTGGAGAGCTGCAAATTTTGTCCTATACTCGGCACTTACGGCCATTGAGCAGTAAGGGGTTTTTTTCGTGCCAACACCTACTGTGGCACGGGACCTCGGTTTATGGCTTTATGCGGTCTCTTACGAAGGACCGGTCTCAACGTCCCACTGTCGGATTCGAACCCGTGACGTAAGGATTGACTCCTTATTCCGCGTCTCTTAGAGCAGACACTCTAATCACCGTGCCACGTTGGCGACGGCAAAGATGAAACTTGAAAATGAAATGTTTTCATGCAGCAATTTTTATTTTAAGCATTTCAATGTGATTTAAGGTTTTCTGAAGTCTTAGAAACAGTCTTATAAATAGTTGATATTAGTAATTTACCCCCCCCCCCCCCCGAAAAAAGTATTAAACAAATTACATATTTAACGTAATCCAGTTTCCTTCCATCTACTAGCATATAGATACATGTACCAGTGAACATTTGCATATTATGAAATTAGAAATGATTTATGGTGTTTTGCACCAGGTTCTTCCCGGATGATCGGATCTGGTTTAATAATCCTTTTTTAATGAAAATGTGTATTTTGCATAAAAATAGCATTTTCAAATAAAGAAATTACTATAAAAAGAAATAGTTTTTTTTAGTTAAAATACTGTGTTTAACATCGGAATAATTTTTAAGTTTATTAGATTTTTATCAAATATGTCAAAAAAAAAACCCAAAAAAAACAAAAAAAAACAAAACAAAACAAAAAAACACACACACACACACTCACATAAAATATCGCCAACCCAGTCTACCCATTTTACCAACATGGAAATCAACAATCGCCAAAAAAAAAAAAAAAAAAAAAAAAAAAAAAAATCTAAAATACTAAGTACTTATAGCACAATAGATAAAATATTAAATCAAAAAATTGAAACTGCCAACCAATTTTACTTGAAACCAAAAATCGTAAAGAAAATCTAAAATACCAAGTATTTAAATACAATTTTTACAGGGAAAACACATTAGGTTAAAAAAAGAGTCTGAAAATTTTAAATCAGAAATTTGAAAAATCTCGAATAGTCCCGGCTTTTAATTTGCCACGGCCCGGGTTTCCTATTTTCAAACACTCTTTAAACTGGAACTCCGCGCATTTTTTTAAATAAAAGGACCAGTTTAGATGATGATAAAGAAGTTACCACTGCATAACATGAAAAGTCTAATGCATAAAAAGAATTGACCACATCATATAACAAATTAACAACATCATATAATTAATTAACCACCTCATATTAAGATGTTACCACTGCAAAGTATGATTTTAGGAATATATATAATAATTTTACTATATAATATTATAATAATGATCTTAGTACTGCACATAATAGATTTTTCACTTCATGTAAAGGTGTCGCACTGAATGAAATTAACTTGGCACTCCACATGCAGCGGGTTTCATACAATGTAATGATTGCTTTATCACACAAATTATGTTTGTACTGTATATATTGAATTTATCACATCACAGAAAGATATCAGTTATGTATATAATGGAAAAACCACTGCATATAATGATTTTACAGCATAATGTAACGGTACTATCACTTCATTACATTATTTAACCACTACATATAATGACATTGCCACTGAATATAATGATAAAACCACTGCATATAATAAAGTTATCAATGAATATAATGATTTTATCACTGTATATAATGATTTTATCACTGTATATAAAGATAAAACCACTGCATATAATAAAGTTTTCATTGAATATAATGATTTTACCACTATATATAATGACTTCACCACTTCACATAAAGGTTATACCACCTCATATAAAATGAAAATGACCTTCAGGCAGCTATGGCGTTCCATACCACAGAGTCTGACAAATCTGTTTCATATATGGAGATTTTACTAGAAAAAGACTTTTCAATCGTCAAATTCTCTTACTTATGTAGTAATATACCCTTATCACCTGCATATGGGGCTCAGTTGATTTAAGGAGGCTCATTACACCCACAGTTTATTTCAGATTTCATTACAGCACCCTTTTTTATGAATATTTCAAATATTCAAATGGAGGTTATGATACGATAAATATTTTTTAAAGAATTTTTAATCTTTTTTCTGATTTTGGTAAAATGTGTTATTTCATGTTTCTGATTGAAAGTATTGCAGAAATCTCAGTGTCAAGTGATGGATATCATCTTCAGATATGTAAGAAATATACTAACACTTCATAATATTCAATATTATTTTTATTAGAAAAAATAATTTCTCCCCAAAAAGAATTAATGTGATTTTCTTCTTAATCTTTGCATGAATAATTTGGAAAATCAGTTATAAATAAACAAGAAATGTATATTAATGAATAACAAGTGACAAATTGAATGAAAAATGTTTTAAGGAAATGAAAATTCCAATTTAGGCCATTCCAAGTTTTTTCTATGTTTAGCGTCCGCGTGCGCTTTGGTTTTTGACACCCCATATCAGAAAAAACAAACAAAATCAGGAGTTCTGAAATGGATCATTCTGGTCGAAATCTTTGAATTCTCTCAATTTCTCTAAAAATTTGTATACAACATGTCCATATTAAGTATATTTTAAGCATTTAATACATTAGTTTTGCTGAGGAATAGATTTTTTCCTACAAGAAAAATAAGAGTAATGAAATCAAATCCCTTCAATGACGTCATTTTTATGACTATCAAGTCTGTGTTTTATTTTTTTGTCTTGTGTGTTTTTTGCAAATAGGTAGGTAGGTTTTTAAAAGATAGGTGGACGCTAAACAGAGAAAAAACTTGGAATGGCCTTATAAAATAATTGGAATAAAAAGTCCACTTGCAAGAGTTATCTTTCCTAAATCCCCCTGACTCAAAACACTCAGGAACGGTTGATCATATCAGATTCAGAATAAGCTAAAATTTCTAAAATAAATATACATTTTTCAAAGAAATAAAGACAAGCACACAAACCAACAAGAGTACTGTTCTCTAAAAGCGCAAGTCCATTATAATTTATTTCAACGAGGTTGTAGATTTCAACTCGAATTTCCTCTATACATACATGTTGTCAGTGGTAGAACTTGCTGCTTTCGCTATGACATTGTACACTACTTGGGTAGCGAAGATTTGACTGTCATTCTCTTTGGTCTCCACTTAAAAGTAACCCTTCTTCGTTCGTGATTTATTTATGAATCCGTTACCAAGTTCCCATTGTTTACAACATCGCATGTAGTCTATTTTTAGAGCGTTTTTAAGATTTAGATCATCAGCAAAGCGAACCTGTACAATTCGTCCCCAGGAGAAAACGGACGAATCAATGGAGGTTTATTTTTCTGTGTAGTACGTCATCAAAAAGTGGTGTAATGAGCCTCCTTAATACGCAATAATATGCTCTACGTAAGAACAATTTCTAAAACGACGCAAGCTATTGATAGACAAGTTGATGAAACAAGAATATCAAAAGTCTCGTTTAAAAAGTTCTATGATCGATACAATGGCCTTGTCAGAAAATACAATCTATCATTAAGTCAAATGCTGACTGACGTTTTTCATACTAATCGTTAGGCCATTATTTACACACTGAATTGTCGATGGATTTTTCCGTTTTTTCCCGACCTTGACAAGGAACATGCGGCGGGTGTGACCGGTCGGCATGGGATGCTCCCTCCTCCATGGCACCTGATCCCACATTTGATGTTTTGGAGGCCCTTGCTTGCTCTGCTCCTGATTTGTATTGTTTGAATGAACTTCTGAGCTTGAATACTGTTCGATATCTTCATATTTCGTTCAATGTTGTTGGTAATATAAACAGATATAAAAAAGGAATCCATTCACAGAGATATTTCAAGCGAATATATTATTGTCAATACGCAGATTTCATTTGAAAATAAAGAACGAGGGCGCATTTGATTGGCATACGGGAGGAATCTTGGCGCACCTGAAAAGTGAAATTTTCATTGATCTGTCACATGAAATATTAGCATTCTTTTGATGTACATGTATCTTGTTCCTGTAAATTAGGAGGGGGGAATATTTTATTAGTGCTGTGCATTGATTTGCTAAAAAAAATTACTTAAAATATGGCTAGGTGAGTCATTTGGTACAAAATGAAACATTTTTAAACACGTTTTTCTATTAAAAAAAAAAAGCTATCTCTGGGTCTCCACGTTTTTTTAAAAATCTTATTCGTGTTAATTTTAATTCAAAGCAATTTGTAAACATTCTAAAAAATATCAAAAAAGAATCGGATACCATCAAAAATGAACTTTTTCCAAAAACAAAATCCCATTACATAGGTGTTTCTTCATTGTCTTTTAAAATCCGCAATGTTTGTGTAGAGATGATAGCTTTAATATGGGTTACCGGTCCAGAACACTCAGGAATCAAGAAGTTTTTTCATATACAAACAATCAATTTGTTTGTCAGTTTAATTTCATTTATTACTGATTCATCATAAATTTAAGAAAGATAAATTTAATTCCGGTTCAATTTCACCGAGAGTGAAAGCAATTCTTCCTACTGAAACTTCAAAATAATTGACTAAACCAACCCTTTTATCCTGTATCATACAAATGATTCCTGCAGGTCTCACGTCAAATACGCCCATCTTCATTTTGTTGTTATGATTACTAGAATTGGTCATAACAACATTTGTTTTTAAATAAAATATTTTGACAAGTCTTTTCAAACTTTTTGGCATTATTAAAAGATATATCAATAATTTTATGCACATATAAACTTTCTTTCATGCTTCTCATGAAGTTGGTCATGTGTGTAGAATTAATTAAATGTTAATTATAATATGAGCGTTTTATATAAAGTCATTACATGTCAATCTGTAAACACTTGCCTAGAGTCTCATACAATTAAAGACATGGCAGTAAGATCTCTTGTAATTTTCCTCGCTTTCTTTGTTTTGTTGTCTTTAATAGATTCTTCTTTAGGAAAAGGATTAAAACATGATGGTGAGTAATGTGCATTTTTTATAATATCGATATCATTTGTTTAAAAAAGTCCCCATCCCCCCAAAGAATAAATAAATTAAAATAAATTGAATAATTTTCCTGATATATGCATAATTATACCTAAGTTATGGGCTAAATATTTTAACATAAATTATTAAATTGTAAAAAAAAAAAAAAAAAAAAAAAAAAAAAAAAAAAAAAAAACCCACTTAATTTGTCATTTCTTAAATCATTTGTAATTTGCCTGCAATTATTAGAAATCAAGTCTTTGGTGTTGAGCGATATGAAAGCTTTACAAACCCTTAATGCATAAAGCATAAATTAATTATAAAATTAATGATTTAGCAGGAAAGGACGCCTCTGCAGTAGGAGACTTAAAACAAGAAGACAGATGGGAAGTGCTGGTGAAAATGGCACACGAGAAAGGTCTTAAAAAGCTCAGAGAAATGTTCCTAAAGCTGAAAAAATCTGACAACGGGAAACATCTGAGTCTAATCGAGAGTGCTCTGAAGACAATAGCCGTAGCATCTAAGGACTGAACATTCTACCCTGAACGATAAAGCAGAACTGTGATATAGTCCTACCTCAATCTGATGTCGTTCTTTTAATTAGTGTAAAAATTCTATATAAATATGTTCATATTATCATAATAATAATAATTATCTCTAATGGAGAGAACTAATACAGGCACGTCTGCCTGCTGTTCAATCCATGTGCATTGTATATACATGTACTTGTATGTATATTTTTGAATAAAAGAATTCTTAAACTAAATTAAAATAATTGTACGTGTTCTCTGCATGATTTTGATTAGTTTTGAAAGATTAATATGTAATTTGTTTTGAAATAAAATAAAAGCCATTTGTTCACACATATATTTGTATTAATAAGATTGTGACGGCTTGAATTCGCCATAAAGTTACAAGAATTGGATACAGTATATTGGTATTAGTCGAACTTTTTTGTTCAAGTTAGTAAAGCAATAAAAAACACGAGCTTTATAGCTAAATGTCTGCATCTTATACAACAGAAAGCGCAGCAATAAACAAGACATGGATAAAAAAGAAAAACAAAATTTTTGTTAAAAAGTTAATTTAAGCACAGGGCAAGAAAAGCTTCAAATTTATTCATACTTTGATTGACAGCTACAAGGATTTGCTTCTATTTCTATCAATCTTTAATTATAATTAGTGTAATGATAGATTTTGATCATGTAAATGTATGCAAATCACATGTTTTGAATGTGTGGATTGACATTACATTCTTTTTATAGAACGTTTCCTGAAATATTAAGGCAGTTTTCTGTGTAGGGAGACCAAAAAAGTCACCCTATAGCTTGAAGAAGCCCTTAGGCTGCGAAATCAACAATAAACTGAAGGGCTGAAGACAGTTTTTGAATGAAAATACATGTATGTTAAAGTAATTAAAAGGTCAAAACATCCAAATTAATTATAGAAGATGATAATACTGGGACTTTTCAAAAGTAATCAGGAAATTAAAACATAATTTGAAATACGTGATAGGAATGCATTTTATAAATGAATTTATCGTGATCCCATTGGCTGGTGGACACAAGGATGTACCTATACACTGGTCTTAATTTGATCAGGTTAGGTGGATATTACGGAAAGAAAATGAATTTGCACATTTTGGACATATTCTTTTTATATGTATAGTTCAATCGTACACTTTTCTGAATACCTACTGAAAGCCTTTAAATAAATGACTTGAAAATGAACATGAAATATTTTCAGATTCAAGTTTTAAATCTCTATAAATATATCTTCCTTTCAAAAATATCCTGTAGTTGAAACTGGACATAGAATTACAGAAATTCTGACACAAACTATACCAGAAACCTTCACAGTTCATCATGTAACTTGAAATAAGCACAATGTCTCAAAGAGCACTAAAGACTGTCCATATCCTTATCATATTCAACATTTGTGTCGTTGTTAGCAAGGTCAAAGTTCTACAGATAAAGTCTACAGGTTCTAAGACTATAGACAATATGGAGTATAAATCTGAGACCTCACCCTGGCTGTGGTTCCTGCTGCTGATTACATTGGTCCAGACTTCCCTGTTCGCTGTGGTCACTCTCTACCAGTATGACAACACTGTGATCCTCCAGGAAGAAGACATAGATCTGGACATTAAAATCAAGCACTTGCAGGTATATGGTGTACGTCTTATCAGTCAAATTAATGATAAAGTTTTTGAATGATTACATGAAAATTATTATTTTGCCATATAATGATTTTCAAGTAGATTGCGAGTATAAGATTAAAATGTGTTGCGTTTAATGAAATAGTGATTCATTTTGCAGGCTTTGCTGGATTCAGACAACAAGAAACTGCATAAGCAGAAGAGGGCAGGAAACTTCATAGCGGACATTCTCACTGCCCAGGTACTCTCTTAAAAACATATACAATGACTATTTTGCAAACTCACTGAATATTTGACATCATTCGATTTGAGTTAAATAATCCATTTCAATTACTGAACTACATGTATTTAATTAGTTTGGTCGCCTTTACAGGAGGCTGTTATAGCCCAACACTGCATCGAAAAGAATAAAACCTGCATTAAAGGTGAGGAGGAATTCATTATCTGTCTCCTTCATTTTTATTGGTGCTTCTCAATGAGAGAAGCAAGCCAAAATAATCAATGAAATTTGTCAGGGGTCCAACGACAACGTGTTGACTCAGGACCCCTGACGTTGTGAAGATGGGTCGATCGGTCATCTTTGACGAGTTGTTTTGTTCTTAATAACATATTTAAAAAAGATGTAGTCTATGAATATACATGAATCACGATCTTTGAAGTACCGCATTACAAGAGAGGTTAATGTGAAATTTAACGTAATTTACAAAAATCTTACGTTTAGTGTACCAATAGGCATCGTACCATACATGTATATATGTGTTATAATTAGGTCACTGCACTTCATACCTTTGAAATCATAGTTGTAAATACATGTGCATGTATCTAATTGATATTTTTTTAAGTGAAGCATTAATTAAGCTTTACTATCTGTATCTTTAGGGGACGCAGGTGATCCAGGATTACCAGGTAACATAGGTAAGTTTGTCACCCATTTACAGGTATGATCACGAACATAGTGTATTACTGAGCAGAAACACTTATAAAGAGAGGAATCAAAAGCACCTAAATTTTATTATTACAGTCATAATTGTATTATAATTGTATCACATCACTCACCGATGCATACGCAGTATAAATACTTTAATATTAGGGATGTATTGCAAATCTGAGTATTAAATATCAGCATATTGATAGGAAGGAAATAAGCGTTTTGAATTCACTGTCAGGAGACAAGGGGGAGAAAGGAATTCCTGGTGATGCTGGATTTCCGGGCAAAATTGGTGATAAAGGCGAGTCAGGGGTCCGTGGGGGTCAGGGAGAACAAGGTATAAAGGGAGCTATTGGTCCAAAAGGATTCAAAGGAATTCAAGGCGACATTGGTCCAAGGGGTGCAAAAGGTGATCTAGGACCAAGAGGTTCCAAAGGGGATTCTGGGGTTAAAGTAAGTTATTAATAACCATTTACATATAATGATTAAAATGATGTAAGATTTCGCTTTGAATGTATTGATATCATTGAAAAATTATGATTTTATCATAAGTATATTAGTTTGCAAAAGGTCGTGCATTATTTTAATAAAATAATTTCCAGAAAGATATATACTCTGAGGTATAAAATTATTGTACGAAGTACATACCTGCAGAACTTTATATTTTAGTCTTTGACCATGTGATCAAAGACTAAAATATAAAACCATAACGCTACAGTTCTGCAGCTACAAATTTAAAACTGAGATGATTTTCTCTTTTTGTGATAAAGTATATTGTCACACTGAATTCCTTTACAGTATGTGTAAAATATAGACCTTTTCAATGCTACCTTAACAGGGGGAAAAGGGCGAAACAGGAGAAAAGGGAATTCCTGGTCCAAAAGGAACCGAAGGCTCGTCAGGAGAGAAGGGAGATCTTGGAGACAAGGGTGGGCGGGGTTTGAAAGGAAATAAAGGAGAACAAGGTCCCCAGGGACCGACAGGACCCGATAATGTTAAAGATGGGTGTGCTTGCCTTGGTATGTATAGCATTGTGTGTGGATAAAATACATGTAAGATGTTAAACTCAAAAGAGAGAATGGAGAGAGGATAAATATGTCATCAATTAAATTCTTTGTGTGTATAATTCTTTTTGGATCATAGATTCTGGATAAGGGACATTGTAAATAAAGAATCTATTTGCGCAGGTCTTGAAGAGATGGAGAATGAATGTTTCGTCTTCAAATGCATTAAATGAAAACAGAACTTTTCTTTTTCGAGCAAGACAAAAAATAATTGTACTATTAAAATTAAAGAAAAAAACATTCTTCAGTTTCTTTTTTACAGAATCAATACCTGTAAATGAATGGATTTCCTCTAAATCTATAATGGGTTCTAAAATTAATATATGAGTTATGTCCACTTTTGCAGAATACCCCAAGTTTGAAGACCCTACTCCTTCAACCACTTTCTACCTGAGTGTAGGGGAGTCTCGGAACCTGCCCTGCAATGCAACAGGGAGCCCTGCTCCAACTGTAACACTCAACAAACAGATAATAGTGCGCCGAGGCGTCGGATCACGTGACAAACGTAATCTTTTGAAACTGAATGGAAAATACACCATCATGAATGCAGCGACGTCAGACTTTGGAACTTACGTCTGTACGGCGAAAAACTCACTCGGAACCATTACAAAATTGATTGATGTCAAACGAGGAGGTATAAGTCTTTAGCATTTTAGTGATATTTCATTCGAAATTCTGGGTAGTTGTTCCAAAGTGATATATTGTTAAAAATTCCAAAAATGATCTTTTAAAAGCAAGACAAACAAGCAAGCAAATGTCTGCTAGCTATGAATTTTTGTTGCATTGTGTTTAACATCGACTCTAAAATGGAAAGACTAGTGCTATAGTTTAGTTTGCAGCTACTGTGACCACGTGCCTCTTTTGCCTTATTGGTTTTGCAGATTTAGATATATTGCTCTCTGATGTTTTAAGGACAATTATTAGAAATAATTTATCTTGATACACTTACTAATATTTCCTATTGTTCCAGTTTTGCCAAACATAGCAAAACAGCCTAGGAGTTCTACGAACAACGCAGGTACATCTGCTGATTTCAGATGTGTGAACTCTGGTATTCCAACACCAACAGTCACGTGGTACAAAGATGGAAAACTATTGGTTCCCGACCCACGTTATCAGATCTCGAGCAATGGAGAGGTTTTAACAATTATAAACGTACGGGCGTCTGATGCTGGTAGAATTGAGTGTCGTGTGGCTAACGAAGTGGGGACTGCAACATCCCGAGAAGCTGTATTAACTGTTGTTTGAAAATGACACTGATTTTGTGAAATTAAAAATTATTGTGATATAAACATCTGAATCTGAAAATGTTTAGGTATACATTTCATTCAAATTGATTCGCAAAGAACATAAAGGGGCAAGTGAGCACATTTTATACTTACTTCCTTCGAAAATCATGCCATTGAGTAATAAAAATAAGGATAAATATGCTACCTCTAAGTTATTTGTATTGGATACAAATAGCTTACCTGCATAACCATACATGAAGGATTAACTCAGTATAAAAAAATATGTGTTTTTGAAACCTGATGCCCCTGTATGACAGATTTTGGCGAATGTTGAAGTTTCTTAAATGCAGGTCGAACTCCAAGGTCAAGGGATGAAAAATGTAGTAACCCAAAGAAAGGACTTGTTCTCAATGAATATACCTGTGAAATATGAAACCACAAGCACTTACCATTAAAAAGTTATGGCCAAGGTTAAAGTTTTTTGGTGTGGGTCAAACTCCAAGTCAAGGTCAAAGGATCAAATTAAAGGTACCCAGGGAAAGGCGCCTTGTCATAAGAAATACAAATGAGAAATTTTAAAGTCCTAGCATCGATGGCCAAGGTTAAAGTTTTTTCAAAAGTAGGTCAAACTCCAAGGTCAAGGTCAAAATTGCTGGTACACAAAAAGGCCTTGTCAAATAGAATACACCTGTGAAATATAAAGGCCCTAGGACTAAGTGTTTAAAAGTTATGTCCAAGGTTAAAGTATTTAAAAGGTGGGTCAAACTCAAAGGTCAAAAATATTTATATTCCTGGAAAGGTCGTATCACAATGAATACACATGTGAAGTATGAAAGCCCTAGCACCAGCTGTTCAAAAGTTATGACCAAGGTTAAATTTGGGTATTTTCTTGCAAAACTGGGTCAAACTCCAAGGTCAAGGTCGAGTTCAAATATTTTGGTACCCAAAGAAAGGCCTTGTCACAAGAAATACTCATGTGAAATATGAGAACCATAGCTCCAACCAATCAAAAGTAATGGACATTGAAAAGTTTTTGTGGATAAACAGATAAACAAACAAACAGAAAGACGGACGGACAGGGCAAAAACTATATACCCCCAAATCGTCGATTACGGGGGCTTAAAAATGTCCAAATGTATCAATACTTTTGGTGCCATTCATGCAATAAATGCAACTTATAAATCTAAACTGATCTTTTTAGCTCACCTTAGCCGAAGGTGTTGTCCTTGTCGTCGTGTCGTAAACTTTTTATATTTTCATCTTCTTCTCCAGAACCACTGGGCCAATTTTATCCAAACTTGTCACAAAGGATCACTGAGTGAAGAGGATTCAAGTTTGTTCACAGGAAGTGCCACGCATTCTTTCAAGGGGAGATGATTAAAAATTCGTAAAAAATTGGTGGCATCTTTAAAAAATATTCTTTTCAATAAACACTCGGCAAAAAATGATAAAACTTATGTGAAAACTTCATTGCATACTCTAGATTCAAGTATTTTCATATCCTAACCCCCGGGGGTAGGGCGGGGCCACAAGATGGCTTCAAAATTTTACATAGGAAGATATACATGTACGATATATTTTAAAAGTCTTCTTCTCGAGAACAGCAAAGCAATGATAAGTCATATTATTAGAGAAGCATCACCAGGTAGTGTAGATTCAAGTTTGTTCCAATTGTTCCAATGACCCCTGGAGGTAGGGCTAGCCACAACAGGGGGCCCAGTTTACCATAGGAATATAAAGATAATATCTAAAAAAAATCTACTTCTAGAGAACAAGTAAGCCATTATTAGTCATATTAATATAGAAGTATCCTCAGGTCGTGTAGATTCAAGTTTGTTCAAAGCATGACCCCTGGGGGGGGGGAGGGCAGAAAAAACGGGGGGGGGGAGGGGGGCAAAGCTTTACAACAGAAAATATCTTTAAAAATTTTCTTCGCAAGAACAGCTAAGCCATTATTAGTCATATAAATACAGAAGTATCATCAGGTAATGTAGATTTAAATTTGTTCAAATCATGTCGCCCGGGGGTAGGGCGGGGCCACACTGTGGGTTAAAGTTTTAAACAGAAATATATAGGAAATATCTTTAAAGTCTTCTTCTCACGAACAATTAAGTCATTATTACTCATATTAATACTGATGCAACCTGCAACCTTAGGTATTGTAGAATCAAGTTTGTTAAAATTATGACCCCCCCCCCCCCCCCCAGAGGTTAGGAGGGCACAACAGAGGATCAAAGTTTTGCATAAGAATATATAGGAATCATCTTCAAAAAATATTCTGCTCAAGAAAAGCAAAGCCATGATTAGTCATAGTATTATAGAAGCATCCTCAGGTTGAGTAGATTCAAGTTTGTTCAAATCTAGGGTGGGTAGGTGGGACCTCAATGTGCGATCAAAGTTTTACATAGGAATACATAGGAAAAAATCTTTTAAATTCTTCTGCTCAAGAACAGCAAGGCCATGCTTAATAATATTCATATGGAAGCACCCTGAGGCAGTATAAATTCAAGCCCCCCCCCCCCTGTAAACTTTTCAATACTAAACTGATTTCTGCTTTTTCCCTATATACAATGTGCTTAGGTGAGCGATGTGGCCTATGGATATCTTGTTTTCGAAGTATTTAAAATTATTAGATTACCAATGGCTGTTTTTGCAGTAACCACATTTTCTGTTGTCTCAAACTACAGGTACATGTAACTTAATTGAAAACACTAATAACAACTGTAAGAAAAGTTTTTTTTAAAGTTTATAAAAGAGAAATCAATTTTATGAACAAGTGTTACTCTTTTTTTTTTATAATTCCTTTTACATATAGGTAACTGAACACGTTATATAAATTGCTCATTTTTTGTTGGATTTAACGTCAACCTTAATTGAAAAATATATGTTTGTAATTTACTTGTGTTCAGGTAACAGGTAGCAGGTAAAATCAAGACATATATTCAACATTTTTCAATATTGATATACAATTATTGTCACTAATACTATGATATACATGTGTAACAACATATTCTAATTATATTTCAATAGTTTAATAAGTGTTTTAAAAAGTGGAAAACAATGTAATAAAACAATAAAAACACAACGAATTACTTATAAAGGTGTTTGGTCTCTTCAATACTGGCGTCTGTGTTTTTACAACAACACAAAGATTGGTCGACAAAAATGTAAGCAAATTTATGGTAGGATAAGTCAAGAGGGAAAACCCGAATAACCTTTCGGAACTTCATTTTGAGATGAACTCAATGTGAGGTATACCTCTCAGAAAAAAAAAAATCATGAAAAAATCATTTAATAATACGTGTATAACATGTATGTTTACAATTTAACATTTTTAAAGCAACATTATATATCACGGTATATTCCGCAAACATGTATGTTTCAAAGATACAAAGAACATGCACTGTACAGATGTATGTTTTAAGCATAAGGTAAGCATATAGCTAAAGGTTAATATTTCTAACATATACTAAATAGACGTTAATGTTTTATTAACATAATTATGTTGCTTTTTCATGCCGCCGTAATCGAGAACTCGGGTGCATATAGTTTTTGCTCTGTCCCTCCGGCTGTCTATCTGTCTGTCCGCAAAAACTTAAACCTTGGTCATAACTTTTGATTGGGTAAAGCTATGGCTTTCATATATCATACGTGTATTCCTTGAGACAAGACCTTTCTTTGGGTCCCAACATATTTGATATCGGAGTTCGACCCACGTCTGCAAAATTTTACCAAACTTTAACCTTGGCCATAATTTTTGAACGGTTGTTTAGAGTTCTTTCATACTTAACATGTGGATTCCTTGTGACAAGGCCTTCCCTTGGGTACCAATAATTCCCTTGGGTACCAATAATTTTGATCTTTTTACCTTGACCTTAGAGTTTGACCAAATTTTGAAAAATTTAACATCGGCCATTAATTTTGAATGGTTGAAGGTAGGGCTTTTATCTTTCACGTGTATTCCTTCTGAGAAGACCTTTCCTTGGGTACCAATTATCTTGACCTTGGAGTTTGACCTACATTTGAAAAAAACTTTAACCTTGGCCTTAAGCTTTAACATTTGCTATACTTTTGAATAGTTGGTGCTATGGCTCTCATATTTCACATGTGTTTTCCTCGTGACAAGGGCTTTCTGTGGGTAGCAACATTTTTTTTTTCTTTTGATCTTGACCTTGGAGTTTGATCTTCTTTTGAAAAATATCAACCTTGGCCATAATTTTCAACGCTTTTCACTAAGACTTTTAAATTTTCACAGATGTTTTCCTACAGGTGGTTTTTTTTTTTTTTTGGTGACAAGACCTCTTAAGTCACAATATCTTTGGACCTTTATATCATGACGTTGGAGTTTGATTTACATTAAAAAAAACATAGTTTCTGAATGCTTTTGAAAAATTTAACATCGGCCATTAATTTCGAATGGTTGAAGGTAGGGCTTTTATCTTTCACGTGTATTCCTTCTGAGAAGACCTTTCCTTGGGTACCAATTATTTTGACCTTGGAGTTTGACCTACATTTGAAAAAAACTTTAACCTTGGCCTTAAGCTTTAACATTTGCTATACTTTTGAATAGTTGGTGCTATGGCTCTCATATTTCACATGTGTTTTCCTCGTGACAAGGGCTTTCTGTGGGTAGCAACATTTTTTTTTTCTTTTGATCTTGACCTTGGAGTTTGATCTTCTTTTGAAAAAATATCAACCTTGGCCATAATTTTCAACGCTTTTCACTAAGACTTTTAAATTTTCACAGATGTTTTCCTACAGGTGGTTTTTTTTTTTTTTTTTTTTTTTTTTTTTTTTTTTTTTTTTTTTTGGTGACAAGACCTCTTAAGTCACAATATCTTTGGACCTTTATATCATGACGTTGGAGTTTGATTTACATTAAAAAAACATAGTTTCTGAATGGTTGCTGCAAGAGCTTTTAAAGAAGATGGGTGAAAAAGGCGGGCGAAGTGCCTATAGTGCGACAAACATGAAGTGAAAAATAAAATCTCAATTATATAAAAATTTTCTTTGATATTTCATCTAACATTAAAGTATATTTTATGCTAAATCTCAACAATTTACAAAAATCTCACAAAGACTGAAATTATTTGTTAAGAGGACAAAAAGGATCATTTTCTCACACTTTAACAAAATTTTTCGATATGAGTGGGTCTTCGCTCCATTTTTTTGAAAGTTGATCCTAAAAGTGTGCATAAAAATATACATTTTATGGTTTACAAAAACATGGAGCAAAGACCCACTATACCTTAAAAGTACACTTTTATGACAAAGCATTCGCATCTTTCCGAGAAATACTTGAAGTCCATTAAATCAAGGGTCATATCACAAATATGATTTAAATGCCACTGTTCGTCAGGAGCTGCGTGGCGTAGTAGTTAGCGTGTTAGTCTCGAAACAATATGATACTCCGGATTTTTATTAATAGGGGGTTCGAATCCCACGAATACCATTTTATTTTTTTAATAAAAGAATAATTTTTTCCGAGATCTTTTTTTCTCAGAAAAGTTTTGTTAATCATAATTTCATAAATTTCAATAATGAGAACTTTATTTTAAATACTTAATTCACAAATTGAATATGATTTTATTAATATCTGAAGCTATAGGCATTCTGCACGCCTTGTTCACCTATCTTCTTTCAAATGTGTATTCCTTGTGACAAGACCTTCTCTTGGGTACCAACATTTCTGATCTGTTGATCTTGGAGCCTGACCCAACTTTTGAAAAACTTTAACCTTCGCCATGAGCTGTCATACTGGTACATCAGTGTTTCACAAACACATCGGGGTTTTAGTTATTGTTGTTGTTGGTTTCTTTGATTTGTTTTACTTTTTGGGGTCTTTTTTGTTGGTTTTTATGTTTGTTTGTTTTTTCGCAATTTTATCTCTATTGATTCTCTTCGAAGGATGTCTGTTGAAGAACGATTGACATAAGTGAAAATGTAAAAAAAAAAAAAAACTGTAGGGTTTTGACCTTTGCATAGGCTTAGGAAAAAAATTAAGAAAAAAATCATAAACAACAAAATAATCCATTTTAATCAGGTACAATGGAAGTACATGTATATAAAATACATACTGTAGAAGTAATAAGCTATATGGATGGTACATTGTATTTCACAAAACGCAATATATGATAAATATTGAATACTTTTGAGCTGTTAGAAACAAATAAATGCACATCATTGGAAATATATCACAATATGAATGCAGTTAGGAACAATTCACACATGCAGGATAATGCAATCAACAAAACGAAATGGAGACCTCCTTTCCTTTTCAATAATCAATAGAAATACAAAGAATAAAACGCATGTTTGAAAATATTTAGACTCAAGTCATTTTTATAGATATTAAATTTCCATTTTACGTATTTAAATAGACAACTTTTTTTTATTTCTTGGACTTCCTGTTGTCTCAAATAGAATAGTAAGTGTAAAAAAAAATTCTTCAATTAACACACAACTGGTCTCCTAAAACAATGCTTCGTTACATTGAACTTCATAAATCCTTAAAAGTTTTACAGATATACCAAAAATCCAATGCCCTCAAAAAGATTATTAAAATATATACATATTATCACAGTATAGTGGACATATATCCTATCAAAATATAAAACATAGATAAATCTCAGTAAACATTACTTTGGCCTTATATTAAGTACATTTTGCGCAAAAGCTGTATGTAGGGGAACACATTATTGTAGCGTAGCAATGAACCAGGTCGCAACAAAAAAAGCTTCATAATATCATAAATGGTTAAAAGCTGAGCTTCCATAGGAATAGAAATGATGAGCGCTTCTACCAGAAATCGGTGCACTCAGATCGAGGCTGGCAGCATTAATAGCCGACCTTGTCCAGACTCTTTTTGGTTCCACTTCCTCTAGACTCATTTCTCTCGGACTCGTAATTCTCATTGGTTTCGGGTTTAGCGATCCAGCATCATGTTCCACAGGATGTCCAGCAGTGTAACTAAATCCGTATTGGTTTCCACACACTACGTCCAGTTTCGGTATGCTTGCTCCTCTGACATAAATAGGCCTTTGACTGTGCCCCCTGGCTTTGTCTTCATCAGAGCCCCGGATGTTTGTGTTGATTCGATTCAACTTTGGATTGTTAAGAGCGATATTGATATTGCGATCCTCAATATCTACGTGACATTTTTCCTGCTTTGGTTGATGCTTCTTGCAGTAAACTTGCTTATCATTCTTATCATTTGCGTTTTGACAAAAGTTTTTCAATGTCAAAGCAGTACTACACTCAGCACATCGAAAACATTGCTTATGATACAAAACACGTCTAACTGGCCCAATTTTGTCCAGTTGGTAGACTTGTTTGTTACACCGGAAACAGGGGTCAGGCACAGAAGTTGGCGTTGTAGCCTCTGAGGAAGAAGAATAACTAGAGGTTGTACTTAGACTTCTGGAAAATGTGATTTTTTCTTTGTTTGGTGATAGAGCTGGAACGGTAGGGGATAGAATCCTTTTCATGCTGAAAGATTTCGAACGGGTTCTCTCTGGTGTGAGGTCAAGGTCTTTAACCGTTGGTTTGGTTGCTTTTCTGGTCTCTGCAGTTATATCTGAATACTTGTCAAATTCACAAGTATTATCACTACGTGGCGAGTCTGTGGACCCACTTCCATTTGTCCACATAGATACGTCACATGACTCTTCATCGAAAGATGATTGGTCGTCGTCTTTTCGAAGGACAGGACGAGAGAGCATCCGAGCCATCGCTGTGAGTGCTTGAACATTTGTGTATTTTGTTTTGGAACCATTCTCACCATCATGATGAGCATCATGAGAGGTCTCTTCCAGAGAAAACTGTCGCGGTGACTTGTGGTGTTCAACCTGAATAGCTTCCACCCTCCGACTGTCTCTTTTGACCAGTTTCTGCTCCGCTCGGATCATTCGATCCTCGTCATCCGGTGATTCTGGTCTACAGTCATCGTGAGCTACAATCTCCTGACTCCCATCAGAAGATACATGTTCAGAGTGGCTGGAATCATCGTATCCGCTGTCAATTCTGTACTCACGTGCATGAATAACATGAGGTTCTACAGGAAATTGACTGTCACAGTGATCAAGCTTCAGCGTCCGTCCAGGAGTCACGTGATCACAATCTTCTGTGTCAAAGTTATAACTAAGTGGTCGTGGCGCCGGAAGCTGGGTTTCAGATGCGTAAAATGTCTTGTCTTCTACGTTATCGTGTACTTCCGGTGTATACTCGGGGTCTCGCGTGACAATTGTCCGCAGTGGAGCAGGGTGCATCACCGAATTACATCTTGCCTGCCATATTAATGTACTTTTAAAATTCTTTGCTTCCTCCATTATGAATTCACTTTAAGTCCTATTGCACACGGGTATATTTTCTTCAATGTAATTTTTTACATGATCGATAAAAATTTGTCCAGTCATGTAAATAGAAATTCCAATCCCAATATCTATGTGTGCGTGTTGTTTCACAGGTAAGATTTTTCTGCTAGGGTAAAATGTCTGTCAGAACTCTTCGCCCTCCCCAAAGTCCTTCCTATCAGAATATCTTCTTGTATCAGACCCAGGGTATTCAGGCGATGCCAAACACACGACAGTTGTCACCATACATAAAAAATTCCAACCTTCTGTTATCGTGGCCTTTTTATAATAACATGTGCTTTAGATCGATATGTTGGCGAATTTCCAAAGGACTATAGAAGTTAAACCACGTTAACCCCACAGTGAATTATCCTCTTTTTATTGGGTATATCCCATTCATACACAAATCGTTAATGTGGATAGATCAATTAACTTGGACACCCGCTACTGAAACGCCTCTGGAGTGGAAAACGACTCTCCTTACCAAATGCCGTCTTGTGAATCGATTGTCGCTGGCTTTTCCCTATATTAGTCGCTTTCTTCATTCATTTTTAAATCCTTGGCCTTTTATGTTTCGTAATTCTGTCAATATTTGGTCCTTGTAATACACAGTTCGTGGTCTGGCAGGATTTGGTCGGACCTCCAAGATTAGCTCTCCTGTCCCTCGGTCTATCTGACGGCCTGACGTGATTCCAATCCACACCTGTAATTAAATTTTCTCTCCCGGATTGATTAATATGTTACCTGTATAGACCTGCAGTCCTCGATATAATATGGAATTCTTGTATCACAAATTAATCGCATACACAGGTATATATAAGGTACATATTATCGATAAAGATTAAATCACCGAGATGCGCTCCGGCTCTTTCTTCTATTGGGAGAATAAATACGATGTCGCCGGTAAAATGTTTGTTTTCAAAAGTGCAGGTGTAGACGCTTTAAATCTATTGTTGATTCTCTTTCACTTGGTCTATGGCTTGTCTAAAGAGAAAAAAATACGTATATTTAATTTTTAATACTATACCCCATTGAATGAGAGATACATTGACACATTTGAGATGGCCTACATTTTGCAGATGATTATGCACATATATTCAAATCATCATTGGCGTATATTGTATGGAAAAAAATTCGGTTACAGGACCAATTATTATTCTTGCAAGTTCCATAGATTTTGACGGTCATCCAGGCTTCATTGGTTTCTCAACATACAACCATCTCTGCCCTCCCTAGGACTAGAATTCTTTATCCATTTGTGCCCTCAATGGGTTTAACATTATTGGTATAGGACTTCTCGTTTATTATCAAAATACATAAGCTATATGCTACAGAGTGAAATATATTTAGATATATACAGTATAGATGCATTTTTAGTATATGACCAGTTTTGCACTGCAGGACTGCCTTCAAGATCGTAGTGGCTAACCTAGCAGCTATGTTGTAGATATCTATCTCTATTGAACGGACAGCTAACCTAGCTAAAATCATATGTGCTGCGAAGTTGTAATTAAGGAGGCCATCTTGGATTTGGTACTTAGCATTAAATATTTATGCTAGCTCTCCCTACGTAGCGGCTAGTCTAGCTCTCCGTTCAAGAGCGTAGCTTTACGTAGAGTCTACGTAGCAGCTACGCTGTTGAACGCACCCCAGGAACCAAGGAACAGAAAATACAGATTAAAAAGAACAAAAATATGTAATGCACTTCAAAATGGGACCTGATTCCAACTCCCAGTATTCATGGAGAGGCACAAATGATCCTGAAAAGAGGATACCTGCAAGATGGCCAGTAGACAAGAAAAAAATCATTACGAACATTGAATTTCAATACATGGCCAAATTTAGCCCTCCCTCTCCTTTTAACCCGAGGACTATTAATTTCACAATTTCGGCGTGGACTGACTGCTTATCGTAACTACGCAATCACTTTGCCTGCAAAAGTCCAGGAGTATATAGAAAATAATTTTGAAGATTGCATGACATTTTATGATTTTGGGCTCATAAGCCGAAGAGGTGAGGACCAAAAAATTCACACTTTTTGTTTTCTTTCATACACAAATTCTAATTGAAAAAGCTGCATGGTTGAAATTTATTCAGCGATTTCAAAGAAGACGTTGAAGTGTTCAAATATTTACGAACAACAAACGAGGACGGACGGAAACAGATAACAATATGTCACCTAAATGACTCTCGTCATTAACGGTATAATCAATAAAGATTTATATTTCCTAAAAAATAAAATCGGTCATTAATTTACACTCGTGTTCTACATCATTGAAAAACACTAACCCAGGACCTAGAATATCTTATATTAAACTGTTTCTTAATTTACCTTTAAAACAAAGAAAGAAGTCCGTTTTTGAACAGAGCTGTAAAATACGCCGCCAGAATTAAAGAATATATGGCTTCCAAAATGTCAAATTTAGATTTGGATCTAAGACATAGTTGAAATATTTTCCTTCAGAGAGTCAAGTGGTATTAAGATTTCAGATACACCCCACGATTTAAGTAATCTGACCAAGACAAATTTTCCTATCAAATAATGAAAACAAGAATGGTCTACAAATTTCTGGGACAAAATTAAATTTCATATACTTAGATCCTTTGAAAACTGGCCGATGTTATCATTTTGAGATAAGGTTAAATATCTGAGATCAGTTGTGAAGAATCTAACGAATAAACAAACACATTGGGGTTGAAATTATCTCGTATGTCAATAAATATATATAACATCAAATGCGGGGGCTGTCTGTCAATCATCGTCCGAGAACAATGTCGGACTTCGAGATTTTTGTCCCACATCTGGGAGCAATCGATTTCAAAATCAGGCGCAATTGGAATACATTTAAATGAAAATTAAAACTGTTTTTAACCACATCTTTTCATCTAGGCTTTAGATTGCAGTAATTATATTTTTTGCTTTGGGGTAAAAATGGATAAGTTGCAAACTAGTTCTACGTGACGAAGATGAATAGACTTCAGACTGATAACATCACTTAAACAGAGTTCTTACTTTTCTATGTATTTAAAGGATTATTCATTGAATGATACCAACGATCAGGGTACCACACATGTATATCAAAACCTGCAGGCATATATACACTTTATTCTCTATAGATATATTTAAAAAAATCTTTTTCATCTATAACACTTAATATTTTTGTATGAAATGAGACAATCGTTTTGAAAAATATTGACTGAAAGACTAAAATGAGAACAGTTTGTAATATTAATAATATCAATTTTTTGTATATCAAGAATTCAAAATCAAATATAAGGCGTTTCTTACACATTTTTTAAAAAGGTACAATCAGAACGTACCAGAGAGTCTCTAATTCATACCTCACACAGAAAACATTCAGCAAGATGTCACACGATTTGCAAACCGACGCATTTTGAAAATCGACACGTATATTTGATATTTGCAGCATTGCATAAGTTCTAAGGATCTTGAATACGCTGAATCATATTACTTTAGCAATTAATTTAGAGGCCTACTGGGAGAAAAAAAAAACATACAAATTCCAGACCCCAAAGTTCGCACATATTTACAGGACAAGAGTTTTAAAATTCAAATCAAATTCTCTAAGACCATTAAACAAGAGGCCCATGGGCCACAATACTCACCTGAGTATCTTGGGCCTGCTGGGGTTTTTTTTCAGAGAAAGATAATTCCCCTCTTAATTAATATTTTGGCCCCACAATAACCCCACGGAATCATGACATACTATTAATCAGACTTGAATCCACACATGATAGGAATGCTTCAATACATGACTTTGCTGTTCTGGAGAAGGAAGATTTCAATTTAATTGTTTTATCCTCTATATAAATATTATTTTAACTCTGATTTTAGCCGTACTGTAATCCCAGTGTCTATGATTTGGAAAAAAAAATCCAAACAACTAGGAAATATAATAAATGCAATGTAATGAAATTAAATGTGGTCCTGCTTCATGTACTCTCGAAAAGATTTTTAAAATTAATTTCTTATACCAGTATATATTTTAATGTAATGCATTGATACCCTTTTGTGGACTCATCCTGATCCCAGGGGACATGACATGAACAATTGAACCTGCACTACCTCGAGATGCATGCATATCTGTTATGGAAAATTTTTTTTTTCCTGTATTCTCATGTTAAACTTTGATCTCTTATTGCCCCAACTCTACCTCCAGGGGTTATATGTATGATTTATCTGCACTAACTGAAAATGCTTGCATATCAATATTACTGCCCTGCTGTTTTACCCCATCTTCGCTAGCTAAGGGTTTCCAAAATCTACTCTTTGGACAAGAAATTCCCGAGAAGAAGACTTTTAAAAGATACCACTACTTTTTTGTTTATCTGTTATCTCCTCTTGAAAAGGGTATGGCTCTTATTTGAACAAAGGATTCGATCTTTGTAGCAAGTTTGGTTGCTATTGATCCAGTACTTATAGAGAGAGAAAAATGAAAATGTGACATATGACAGACGACAGGCACACAAAACAGACGACGGACGTACAGGCGGACGCCAGACACCCTTTGAACAGAAAAAGCTCACGTGAGTCTTGGGCTCAGGTGAGCTAAAAGGTTGTAAAGATGTTAATAATTTTACATTTTCTTTAATTCGATATACTTAAAAATACATTCTTTTAATGAATTCACTATATTCTGATGTGAAGATGACTAAATTTTATTGTTCGTATTTTGAATTCGGGAATATCATTAAACCTATACATGTATTGTTAGACAGATAACGAAATTCCAAAAAAAGATAGTTATTTTACTAACATGTTTGATAACAATAGAAAAAAAATATACATTGAGATATTCGAATTATAAATAAATTGATAATAATTAATCTCGTTAACTCCCAAATTTCTCTGATTGAAAAAAAAACCCTGTGTGGACCTTCTCTACATATCCTCACATATGCAATTTAACTTAGAATATAGGTTACCCAACCAAACAGCACTTAAAATTTAAAGCGCAAAACAAAGACAATATACATATATTCTAGTAGATATAATCGATCCATGACTTTCTGTAGGTCTAACTTAAACGTTTTACTCCAGAAAATATCTTTCAAACAGCAAGTAATTGAGCGACTCATTTACCAATATTCATAAAATTCTATCTAAATTTCGTTTAATACGTGTTATGTACACTGTATATATATGGGCCAATCGATACTCACTAAAAAAAAATTTTATGAAGGTAGGGGTGGGGGTGAAAGTAAACACTTCTCATGGATAAGCTGATTTCCTCTTTTTCTAACAAATTATGTTTATTTTGTGACTTTAGAGATGTCTAGAAGATGAGTTTCACTTTATTTTTATACAGTTCTTAAGTGCACAAAATGTTAAAGAAATGTCTTAAGTGCCTGGGACGATTTACAAGGAAGATAAGATTTACTTAATAGCTTGTAGTATATATTCTGTATGCAAACAGATACTAGTATAAAATTCATAAAACACAAAAAGAATTTATAGTCTTATATGTATATAATGCAGCAAGTCTACACTCATTATTATATAATCTATTTTATAGTTCATTTTGTACATGTATGTGTCTTAACGTCTGATGTACCATACATTGTAGGGCATAAAGAAAATTAAGAATTGAATAATGATTTACTCTTCTTATAAATTTACGAGGAGTCCGTGTTTCCTGGGAAGGTGTGTGTGTGTGGGGGGGGGGGGGGGTCATTTCTTGTTAATTTATTATATAAATATAAAAATTCTAAAAATCCAGGGGCGCAGGGGGCGTGGGTGGCTCCGAACACTTCTAGATCCGCCAAGGTCTATAAATGACTTTAATATTATATGTCCTCTAAACTTTCAAAAATAGAGTTGTAGACATAATTTTGTATATTTGAATTGGTATCAGCAAAGGAAATAAATGCATGCATTTTGAATAGAATTGATTTCAGTAGATGGACCTTCGATTTCAAAAACTAGACACTGAATATTTTTCTTGTATATATTAATCTCATATATGAGAAAATAATGTGGTTCTCTAAATTTTTTTTATTGAACTTTATAAATTCTCAAACTTTTATTCTAATGGAAGAAACAAAGTAAACAAAAAAAATTGTACATGTATTATTTGTAGCTACGTAAAATTGTCAATGAGTAGCTATATCTGTTCTGTTTTTGTAGGCTTTGTTTGATTACTGAGTATCTTAACAATGTTGTAAAATAAGATGTTAGTAAAACTTGATTTTGTTCCCTCTGATATTTATAGCTATTTTCTCCCTTAGCAATTGTCCAAATAGTTATATGAATAGAATTTTTTATACACTAAATTATATTATTAAGTTATTATATTAATCTTACAAGTACGTTTAACTAAACGATAATCATATTCTCCACAAAAAATAAAGTGTACTATTAAAAATTTCAACTGGGCTAAAATGTTCTCGTGTTCATTTAAACAAAGACTAAGAAAATAATTTAATGTTGAAGATGGCATTAATCTTCAAATATTGGAACAAATTTTGCAACTAATACAATATGTAAACTATTTATAATATTCATTGAGAGAAAAATCAAACAAGCAGATCAAGATTGAGATATTTTTTCATCCTCATGCCATCATGCCCTTGACCTTTCACCTCCTTGTGAAATATGAACTCAGATCATAAAGAGTTATCATTCCGAAATCAATGGGACGCCCGCCCGTCTGCATCCGCCAAGTCATCAGTGGTAAAACATTATACCCCAAAACTTTAAAACAATGAAGAAATGAAATAATACATAAATAAATTAGAACCTGGAGTAACGTACACGCGTTCTAAATCTATTGTTTGCTTGGAGTTTAATTAAAATCACACAATTCAAAGTTGGTTAACAATAGATATGGCAGAATTATAATTTCTTGGGAAAATAGAGATAGAGAGAGAGAGAATATATCAGATCTTCCGAGTCGTATCAAACTGTAAGGTAACAATTTCTTATATACTTTAATCAGCGATTTAAATACGACGATAAAAATTTGATAAAACAAATGTTTGTTTCTCTTTTCAAAACCCTGCCACACACGATACTTTGCAAAGTTTTACGCTTTATAATAAACGTTTACATTAACCGATTCATGATTTTTTTCTTGCAGACTTCGTATTCGAACTCCCCTTTCTCTTTTTTTAAAAAAAATGTCCATTATTCATTCTCTCTCCCCCCCCCCCCCCTTTCTGGGAAATTTTGCTTTTATTATTTGTGCAAGCTTCAGATCTGCCTACCCTTTTCATTGCGAGGGTGTAATTTCAATACTCGTTTTGGCGGAATTTCAGAGGTAAAGGCGTAATCTTTTATGTTTCTCTAGTTTGATGTTTTGCAATGATACTATAATGTCTAAATAAACCTGTAATTGTACATCATTGAACAAAGCAAGCATGAATGTTCCGTTTTCAAATCATTTATTGACAAAAAGTCCATATGTGGAATAACTGGTATCCTAAATGCAGTTATATCAAACTTATTTAACTTACATGCCTAATGAACTTTTGGAAAATTTATAGAAAATCACATAATTCATTTGCATGTTAATACAAATTCTACATTATTGCGCTATTTCGTTTTTGATTTACTTACATTTACTTGTTTCTATGTTGTTCTAAGCAATGTAAGAATAAACGGAATTGAAAATTAAACTGACTTATTGCACATTTCATTCAAAAGTTTTTTTTCATAATTTTGGCATGCAACCCGTTTAAATGGCATTATTACAAAGTATATTACATATGTTGTTTGTATGTTAAATAATCATATCGTGAAGAACCGAAACCCTCTATTAATTAGTATTAATTATCTTCTTCTCGTTTTTATTTAGGAAAGCCTTTACTTTAACTCCCAAGTTAGCAATTCAATAAGTTGTCTAGGAAAAATATTTAAAAGCGTAAAATTAAATTTCATGGCGTAACAGCGTAATTTATTGGTAAAAAGCGGAAGAATTACGCCAAAAGCGGAAGGTTAGGCAGGTCTGAAGCTTGGTATATTATAAAGAAAGACCCACTGGAATTGACGGTCTGGTGCACAGATCCAAGTGGAATCAGATCCAAGTTATTACATGTAATTAAATCAAAATGCATTTCATCCTACATGAAGATGAAGAAACTTACCTAGGTATCTTCCGTCTTGCTCAGAATTCGATAAGATCTGAACCCATACAACAGATCTCATTAAATATCGTGTCTACCGTGTCAGAAATAAACAGGTGCTCGTTAACAAACAATGCACAGCTAATTAGAAATGTAAACAAATTACACAGTTTTTAAATACCTTTTACATACAAACATGACGGAACTGATCTTTATCTTGTTCGGTCGCGAGTTAAATTTCATCGCTTGTTTAAGCTACCGTTACAAATTCAGATCGGTGCATGTATACTAAGTATCCCCCCTCTACTAAAGTAAAAAAGTATTGTTACCTAACAACCGAGTTTTGAGTATCTTTATCTTCAAAAAATATTTACAATCCCTTTAACATGACATTTTTCTATTACTCGTAATTTTAAACTCAGAACAGATACCAATAGCTGATAAAACGTACATATAATTCACTTACACTTTTTTGTACATATATCTGTATATGTAGAAAATTTTCCAGAAAAAATATTAAGTACAGATGATACAAACAAACTTTAAAAAAAAATGAAAACAACAACTTGTCATGTTTATCTAAGTAAAATGAATAAGTTTATCTCAACGGATACATGTTTTCATTCAAAATTTTACAATGATGTCCTATAAAGTGTTTTTAAAAATGTAAAGATTTATAAGGGTGAATGAAAGGTAGAATTTTGAACATCATAGAAAGTGTATATTTTCTTAATAATTTAGAAATCATTTACAACCAAAAGAGTTACATATATACCAATTCAGGCACCATTTTCCGGTTTGTATCATCTGTCCTTAGTTTAAGAAACTTTACAACCAAAACGCTACAAATGTAAAAAGACACTCCAACATTTATGTTGCATTTTTATTTTTTAAAAATGTAAAGAAACAATACTTTTTTCTGTGATTGAGATGTATTAAAGCATTGTTGTTCAATTACTCCACAATTTTCACAAGACAACAAAGCTCTACATATAACTGAACTATGTGATACTGAAAAACAAACTGAAAAATAATAACAATAAACAAACTGCTTTTTACAAAAAAAGTCTCACTGTATTCTTTATACATCTATAAAATACAAAATAATACACAATTATACTGTCACAAATGTCCAGAGTTTGGAAGGTGGACAAACACATTGATGATAAGCTAGCGTCGAAATGCAGGCAAGACTGAGGATTTTATGTATACAACACATTGTGATTATATATAGCACAAAGTCGTAAATACTTAAACTTGTTCATAGAAATGAATTTCACCCCCCCCCCCCCCCCCCCGCCAAAGTATCAATACGTATAGATTTTCATGTAACACCTGAGAAGATTTGGTTCCATTCTACATCACTTATAATCCACTTGACTAAGATTAAAGAGATTGTACACAAATCCTGACTTATCTCTTTCTAGAATTATGACAAGCAGAATGGAAAATTGAGGGATTAGGGATTATCAGATTAAAAAGTTAGGGGAAACTCCCTGTACTCTTACCCTTATAACCCAATACACAAATTGTGTTGTTACTTAGTAAAGCTTTACATCTTGATTAATCTAATAAAGACACCATTTAAAACAAGCACACGAACTACACTTTCCCACGACTTGTTCTGGTTAATATCCTTTTCTTTTTTATACAACCAGAGGTCTAAGACAGGCCTTTAACCTCAGATACAAATGCATGACACATGTAAATGTTGAATCAACTAGTCTACAAGGTCACAATATCATGTCTCCCAGAAAAAAAAAACTATATATTTTTTAATATGAATCAAGAATGCACAATAAGCTTATCTTATCTTACAACAAAAATATGGAATAGAGATTACATTGCCTAAACAGACATAAAGCACTTGAAAGCAGATTACATGTACATCACAATAATATCAATAAAGTGTACACAGGTCTAAAGAATCCTTCCAAAATAAATCCCTACAGTGTCTCTCACAATTTGTTATTCACTAGATACTTGTATTGCTTTACAATAAATCAATCACACTTGTTCTTCCTTTGAATGTAATATACTAGTAGCTGTATAAATACAAAAAGGAATACAGTCAATCTGTTAGTTATAGTAAGTATAACAAATTTATGGATATAGTGAAATTTTTTGCAATCTCCAGCAAAATTCTTAACGATTCCTTGTAAAATTTTATGGTACTCTGATACAACAAATTTGTGGACATAATGAGTAATTTTGTGTCCAATTTTTCCTGTAAAGGTTAAAAATAACAAAATTTCCGTCTTTTCTAATGACTTTTTTCAGTTCTCAAAATTTGAAACATTGAGCTGACATTATGTTTTGTATTTATATTTAAAATTTTATTACACAGAAAAATTTAGTTCTCCAAGGTTAACTCAATATTTAATAATTCCATGAGTATATCTGATAATCATAAGAAGGAAAACATGTATATTGTTATTCAATCCTATACATTTACATACTTTTAATATTTTTTATGCAAATTTATACATGTACTGTATACATTTAGATCTATACTGATTTAGCAAAATAAATTCACAGGTCCCCAGGACTTTGTTATAACCATGTTTTACTGTATACAGATGTACAAATTATAGTAGTTCGTGTTACTTCAAATTCATCTAATACTCTAGAGGTATAATCATAAACCTTAATTTTAAGTAGTCACAAAATGTGTGTATTGAAAGACAATTATTCTTTATAGATTTTCATAATGATAAATCATGTAAGAATGCATTAACACTAATAAATAGGCTTACACATGACAAATACTGCACTAGATCACTAGGTTTTTGTTATGATATCGTCGGGGGGACATTTTCCATTGAGATTTCCTCAAAGGATGACCCTGAATCATTGCCATCTGAAGCCTTGCCCCCGTCTTCTTGTTTGAGCGGACTCAGCTGAGGGGTGGTCATTTGTTCAGAGCTAAAGCCCGAGTCCTGAAGAGTGGGGGGCTCACTAGTGTCTGGTGTGCACTGATCACGACCTTCATCCTCTAACAGTTTACGTGGAGTTTCCTCCCCTATGAGGATCTCTTCACTATGACAAATTACCTCCCCTTCTTCCTCAGCCTCACTTTCACTGTCAGAAATTGGCATACCATCATCCATTGCTGTGCGGCTGTAACTGGTCTCCCTTGAAACTTTGAAAGACAAAAAAGATGATTGATAAATAAATAACAATTCACAAAGAAAATTAGAAACAAAAAAATGTTCCTAGAAGAAGTGGGATAGGTCAGCAGAAGCAAACTGCATAAAACTATTACACTTGTTTTGCCATAGGAGATACAATTATGGGTACTTCCCTTAAGACACCTTATGGTTTACTAGAAATTTTGGATGAGACTTTACCTTTTGGTTTGAACTTTTTTTTGAATCACAAATGCACCTGGACCAGTAATATTTTTATCATGGGTTTTACATTTAAAATGCTCATTTAAAAAAAAAATCTATGAATAAAATTAATGTGTACAAATACAGTAAACACCAACCAGGCTTTTTACTGATTGGACAGAAATTTGAAGATCTGCATAGATGATAAATAGAAAAATTATTTTTAATATTTTTTTTTATGTAACCTTCTGTCTTTTGTAAAAATGTAAAAATCATTGACATTAGAAACTTAAAGTAGTGCACACATATTTGTTCATTGAAAGAGTCTATATTTGTTCTTGGTTTTATTCAAATCCAGTGAAAATTATAAGTAGGATAGCATTTTGAATGACTTGAATGGATCCTTATATATTTTGAAACCATGACTACAATGTTCATCAAAAACATATATATCTGAAATTAGGTATCTTGATGTAGTCTACCTGTGTACAAAGTTTTACCGATATTTGACCAAAAATGTGAGAGGGGTAGTACATGTATTTTGAAAAACTGTTTAAAGACAGAAGTTCAGCTAGAATGATAGACAAATAGAAAACACTTTACTCATGCAGGTGCTCTTCTGGTATTTGATTGGTAGACTCAAAAATTAAGTTTAATTTCTATCATTTTTAGGGATTACCGGTACTTTATCGAATTTGTTAGATCTTGCATTTATTTCAGAGGTGCAATGAAAACTGTGTCAATATTATAGATAGTATACATTCTATGGAGTAGTCTGCTTAAAGGGGGATAACTCCTACACTGTACAAAATCATATATGAAAAGCAAGTTCATGGCAGTACAATGCCCCTTCTCCCTTGTCAAAATAAACTTTATTATTTGTACAGCTCTTTTATCTGTTCTAGATCAATCCCCTTAGTTGTCTAATACTTAGTACAATAACACTTTATAGTGTCATAAATGATGAACCTTTTGTACCTAAATCTAAGGAATCCATTCTTGATCAAATATTGTTCCCAATAAATATTTTTTCAAAGTTTCTATCTGTTTTTTCTCCCAATTCTGAGAATGTATTGACAAAATGGAGAAAATTGGATATTTCTTGATATAGAAAAGATTGAAAAGAATCTTTGAACTTTGTCACTTACTATGCAGTTTATTTGGAGTACTTGTGTCAGAGGGTTTGTTAATTGTAAAATACATACATGTATGTATACCCTCAAAGTAAGAAAAAGATACTCTAGGGGGTTTCAGAAATTTTTTTAAAACATGGCTAGAGGTTAAATTCAATAACTAAAAAAAATATATATATATATTTGAAGCATATCCCAACAATATTTCCTCTGATTTCACCTCAGTCTGGAGAAGGACAACACTCTGTATGTAGGGGTATATTACAATATTGGCTGCAGTGCCCTTACCTGACACACTCTCATCTACAGAGCTGTCATCTTCATCATCTCCGTCCTCGGCCCTGTCCTCATCCTCCTGAACCTCAGGGACGTAGAATTCATTCTGCCGAGCCAGAGGGGCAATGAAATAGATGAAGCCTCCATCATACACCTCTAAATAGGGATGAGCACATAACTTACGCTCCTGAAAATTAGAAAATTTACAATTTCGTTTAGAAAGAAGATGGGCGAACAAGGCAAGTGAAATGCCTATGGTGCGACAAATATGAAAGTGAAAATTAAATCTCATTATAACAAAAATTTTCTTTGAAATTTCATCTAACATGAAAGTATACTTTATGTAAAATCTCCAGAAAGTACAAAAATCTCACAAAGATTAAAATATGTTGATGGTGCAACATTGGGGCGAGCGCATTGTTCACTTAATTTTAAGATCCGCCTCTTCAAACCGCATGAGACATTTGCAACGTCTAAACTGTGACATCACATGACGTTGTATGTTAGCTGCATTTCCATAAACGAAGTTTGAAAAGTGCAAAAATTTTAACAAAGAAGTTTAATCTACTATCTGTTTGTAATATCCATTAAATTAAGGTGAGTTTATTTTTTGTGAATTTTTAGTTGTTGTTAGCGCGCAAACGAAGTTAGCAGTGAGAACAAGAAGCAATGCATTGTGGGTCCAGAATTACTGAGGAAAAAATTCTGTTGAATGAATGTGCAGTAGTCTGATATTTTCTCTTCGCCCAGGTGTTGTCGTTAGAGCTCGCAGTGACAAGCGGCACTTTGCGCCGCTCGCTGTGCTCACTATTATTTGTCTGTGAAATAGCATACACACACACGACGGGCCAAACTAGCTGCAGAACTGTAGCTCTCTGCTTGAGAAAATTCGGACAGACACAGCAGAGAGCTACAGATCCAAGTGTTGTAAAAACCTTCGATTTACCTTTCAACGGTTCCAGACGGCCGTAATATCAGTTTAAAAAATGCATTCCGACGTCAACGTTGGTGTCATCCTGAAACAACACGCCCGAGTTTTATTTATCTCATTTCTTTTTTACATACATGTTGTTTTGTAATCTTTATAGACAATATACATGATATTTAAACCTCCTGAAATTTTTATTTACATTTTCTTGACAAGTGTATGTTCTTTGAATTACTTCTTTTCGCACAACCCCCAATAACATGGACGTCAGAATGGGAATTTTTTAACCCTACATTTCAAAAGCATAAAGGGCTGTTTGAGACCGTTGAAAGGTAAATAAAGTGTCAGGAATAGGAGTAAAATATATGGATAATTATTGGATACCACTTTTAAAGCAGGGGAAAGCATTAAATACAAGAAATAATAGCCGAAGCGAGCGACAAAAAAGCGGCGGCGTAAATCAAAGGTTTTTACAACGCTTACTCTCTGCTTTGTCTGTCCGAATTTTCTCAAGCAGAGAGCTACAGTTCTGCAGCTAACACACACCAAAAAGGGCAAAAAATATCATTTTCTCATAACACAATTTTTCCATATGAGTGGGTCTCCTTCCATTTTTTTTTTGGAAAATTTATCCTCAAAGAATGCAAAAAATATACATTTTTTGGTTAACAAAAACATGGAACAAAGACCCACTATATCTTATAAATACACTTTTATGACACAGCATTCACATATTTCTGAGAAATACTTGAAGTCCATTTAGTCAAGGGTCATATCACAAACATGATTTAAATGTCATGCTATGTCAGGAGTTGTGTAGCATAGTGGTTAGCATGATAGTCTCAGAGGAAAAATGATACTCTGGATTTTTATTGCTATGGTTCGAACCCCAAGAATAGCATATTATTTTTTTAAATAATACAGAATAGTTTTTGCCAGGAAAATTTTTTGCAAAGTTTTGTTTGTCATAATTTCATAAATTCCAGTAATAAGAACTTATCTCTAAATACAAAATTCACAAACTGAATGTGACTTTTAAACATCTGAAGCTATAGGCATACTGCAAGCCTTGTTCACCCATCTTCTTATAATATTCAAGATAGATACATGTAAAAAGTAAAAATCTTGTCAATGAAATGTTCCTCCACAATACCAAATAAACAAGCCAATTTCAAAATATCTTATACTCTTTTTCTTCTTTGACAATTTATTCACTGAAAAATTTTTAAGGATATGTATCTTTGAGATGTATTAAATGTTGAATGTACTACACTGTATAAATAGCATTTGCAGAGACATGTCATGCAAATCATTGATAAAATTAATAAAGTTTTACAGAGAATTAATCCTGACCTGTACATAATCATTCATTCTTGGGTATACCCTCCACACTGCAATAAGAATGGATAGAGCGCTTCTGTATGGAAAGGAGGTATTGACAGCATATGATACAGATGGAAGCTTGGCAATTTTATAACCAAACTTTAGCAGTTGTTCCTGAACAGCTTCATCAATTTCAGTTCCATCCTCAGAGAGAACAGAGCCAACAACATAACGCAATTTCTCTGCTTCTACCTATAACAGAAAAATTATTTCTTCAAAGATTTCAACTGACTGAAATTCTTTATATCAGAAAAGGGCTACAAATACATATATTCTAGAGTAGACTCACACTAGAGTCCTCATCTTAATGAATAAAGAAGATACAAGGCATTACTTTGGCAAGTATGAAATCAAGTCATATTTAACATGTTTGAACTGAAAAAAAAATATTTTTAGTGCTAAATGGAATAGAGTTTTTGATTGAGACTGTCTGGAAATTCAGAATTTCACATAGTGGGTCAACTTTCGTAAAGTGGATGATAAATTAATGTGCTGTTCTTTGAGATTTGTTCTTAATTCAGAGGTTTGGTTAAATTTATACAGTTGTTTCATCCAGCTTTTTTGTTTTTTTCATTAAAATATTTACTAGTCAACCCTTACAAATAAATTAACATTTCATCATGACATCTGCACTTTCATTTTCATATATTCAGTAAGATTCTGATTTAATCCATCTGGCAAGACAATGACGTCACACACGGATCTACAATATTAATCTTATGATAATCCACTCTTATGCATGTAGTTATGACTACATGTGAAACCTTAATATGCGTAGCCTCACCACTCTGGGGTCATCATAATAGATGCCTATGGTTTTGTAGCCCTGAGGGGTCAGTCCGCAGACTTCAGTAAACACGGGGCCACATTCCTTGTATGGACCGCGACAGAATTTGTAAGCAATGACAGCCTCTCCGAGCGGGGGTTTCCCCGTCTTAACATCAATCGTCTCAAACAAGCCCGACAATAGCAACAATGCCAGAAACGTCAATATCAGACATAAACCCAAAACTCCAATGCCAGCGATCAGCAGCATTTCAGCCATTGTTTTGGTTTTTCGATGTCCCTCTAGACTGATCATAGATTATATAATAAAATACCAGTAGATCCCGAGAATTATAAACTGGTTCTCATCAGTCGATTCCATACGGAACGGAACGAGTGTTGCCGAATACTCGTTCATCAGGGAGGATAACTCCAACTTTCTTATAAAATAGATCATGTACAGTGTATATGGAATTTATTTCAATAGTTGGAAACATAAATTTCATATCCAATTTTTCCGACTTCAAGTTAAATATAATTCTGGATACTATTTTCATACTGCGATAACAACACTTGTTATTTTCACAGTTTGAATTGAGATAAAAAATCTGTGAACATTGCAATTTTATTCAATGGAGAAATTAAATTATTGAATTGAATAAATAAATTTATTTATTTTTTTTACTTTCGGATACTGAATCATAAGAAAGAAATATATTTCATAATATAAAAGCAACACTTTCACAACAAAAACAATATTACATTTTTGATTTAAAAGTTTTCTCTGGTAACCAAGACTATTAAAAAATTTAATTTATGATTAAGTCCCACCTTCACCCTGTTGATAACTTACATTAGCCCACACTCTCTCTCCCTCTTAATTTTAAATTGGACACAGTTCGATATCAATTGTTTTTCTTTTTTATTTGTCTGTAACGATGATTTTCTTTTCGTGATCAACAACGTAATATTATACATAAAGATTAAAAAAAAAAAAGCAGAACGTGTTTTCTTTGCTTCAGAGTCCTTGAGTAAGTGTGACTGATGAGTTATTTACAGTTTTGGATGCTCTGTACATGCCTCCCAGCTGTTACACATTCCTGCAGTCCATAATGTGGGGGAGTGACACAAGAAGGCAGAATTTGTTTATGATGACAGATGAAAGAAACTCCTGAATATCAGGCAGGTGTGGGGGAAAATATACACGTGAGATGGTCGATCTTCTTTTACCAAGCGCTGATTAAATTTATAGGACAATCCTGTTCAAATTTCTGGTGTGTAATATTGAGAAATATTTTTCTTTATATCTACAATAAGTATGTCAACTTAACTACACGTACACTGTTTGTAAATCTTAGATCTTTAATTTACTATTCTAAGACTTTTCATAAGTAGAAATTTTGATTAGAAATGGTGATATATAGGGAAATTTATAATGGAATAATTGTGAGCTATTTTAAAGATTGATCAATATGGACCGTTTCCTAAAAGGAGAGAAGTCCAATTAATATCTTTGAGAACGGCGAACTGATACAAAGCAAAGACATTAACATACAGTTTGCCTATATTCATGATATTATGCGAATGATTAATTACCAATTACATGTATACAATATGAAATTAATTTGTTACTGAAAGCCCAGATTGTACTCATTCTATTATCTTTACATTTAGAACACAGAATATAAATTTGTATAAAATTTATATATTGATAAATTCTATAAACAATGCCGAAGATCAATGTAGTTATGCATAAATACTGAACATTCCGTCACTGAAAAAATGTTAGGCATGCATGTATTTCAAAATCACACATAAAAATACAATCACACATTTTAGTATATGCTTTGAATGTTATCACTTTCACTGGAATCATATCGACACATGTCATGTTTTAATGGCATTTTGCATAATCGAAGCGTGATGGTTGGTAGAGTTGCAATGGAAATGCATATTGTTGTCATTATTTTCAGAATTGACTTGAAACGGACCTAAAACGAAATGATAAGAATGCATTTACATTGCACGCAAAGCTTTTAGATGGACTGGGGATAATCGTCGGTAATTCGCGTGTTTACATTCAAAATTAGAAAAGGAATTTTATGAAAAAGTCTTTATACAATTTATGAGAAAGTTCTTTAAAGATTTTCACAATGATCTCGATAATTGTTTAAATGCTAAAAGCAAAATAAACATGATAAAGAAGTAATGGGACGATTAACTTAACATGCCATGAATGTTTTTATTTTCAAAATTTTCTCTGAGTTTGACTTTCAGTGTTTTAGTATGAATTAAATGGACTCTTATCAAAGAACTAGTGATATTCATCTTTAGCGACCTGAAAAAAAGAAAAAAAAAACTCTTGTGTTAATGCTGTTTGCATGTGCTAAGTTCATATAAAAGGCACTAGATGTATAAAATAATACGAAGCCGATATGATAAGCCAAAATAGGACGAATCAGTGTTGCTAAAGGGAAGATTGGGAGAAAATATATATCTGTCATTTGTTGATAAATTTTCATCATTTACTTCATTTGTAGAGGCACACTTTCCAAGTTTCCTCTGAACTTTTACCCCCTGTTCCAATTATCACATGCCCCTGGGGCTACATTAACCTAACGACTTGAGACGGTCCAACTAAGGACAAATGTTATAATGGGAAAACATATACATTAATTCTGTGTATGCACTCAAATTCACACCTGTACACTTATGAGGAAAATTAATTTATAATATACATGTATATTTATCATTTTGATTTTTCCTAAAATCTGAACCCGCACCCAGCATGGAGTTCTTGTAATTTAAATATGACTAAAATATTAAAATATTGATAAAATTTAATGACCCCCCCCCCCAAAAAAACAACAAAAACGCCAACCCCCCCCCCTAAAAAATAACTTATTTTACCATCCACGCATTTACATGTACCTTGTCAACATAAGGTTACGTTATGTACATGTATATTGTTGTACACTCTGTGCTTTAATTTTATGCAAATGTAAAGTTTAAAATTTAAATTTTAAAATTAAAATGAATAAATAACATTAAAATTCTAGTAATAAGAAATAGAAGAAAAAAAAAAGTTCAGTTAATGTATTTCACTTCATTCCTACCGAACTCCTTTAAAGGGAGAGGCAATTTAAAAGTATTATTAACAAACAGGTTTTCCATACATTTTATTTATATGTAAACAATACCATGCAAGAAATGTGAGAAATTTTTATTGCCACCGATTTAGAAATGATAATGTTATATTCTTTTGACCATACGATACATGAATATCGTTTTCTAATGGAGTTCCATTCCACATAATTATATTGCGTAGGACGATGTCATAATATTGCATATTAAGATTACTAGTCGTTGTGGAATTTTTAACGAGCGAAAATCTGTAAACACCCTGATTACCTGTAGTTTTAAGATATTTGTAGATATGTTTCATTATACATGTACCTATAAAAGTCTACATGTACAAGGTAATTATACAGCTTCGTCCTTCAAGGACATTACAAAACAGCAGCTTTAAACGGATAAAACAGTTTTTATCTGAGAAGCATTAAAAAAATTCCCTTCAACTTCAGTGGCGCCATGCTAAATTGGAGGTATATAACAAGACATGTACATTATTATAGGGATTATTATCATTTTACACGCACATGTAAACTTGGTTGTGACTTTAACATAAGTTATAAGAGTCAATAGTCTTTCGGTAAAGATCTGAAAAATCAAATGTTAATTCTATGTAGCGGAACCTGCTGACACTTGCAGGTGACCTCCTGATATGGGCGAAAAATTCTCTCATGGATTTAAACTCTAATTAATTAATTAATTAATTAATTAATTAATTAATTAATTAATTAAATAATTAATCAACCAAAAGTAAATGGTCACATACAGATGAGACACGTACAGTAAACCCAAATTATATATTTCTATGTATATTGTACGTATAAGGTCTCGATCAAATATTACCGGATATAACGCTAACGGGCGTCAAACATATCGCAAATCGTCTCTGTTTGCATAAGTTTTTGGTGCGTCTCTTTTTCGGTGAATAAGTTCAATTTCCAGAGAAGGTCCAGAGAAGTACAGTTTAATCAGCAGAAAGTTTTGAGCATTTTCAAACGTTGGAACAGTTACCATCAGACTCAGGTGCCCGCTAAAAGTACGGTACAATGTAGGTCTGTTTAAAGTACGGTACGTATGCGTTTTGTACGGAATTCATGCGCTTTTTTCCTGTACTTTAATTAAAGACCGTTCTGGTTACGTGGATCCCCGTTGGACCTGAGTCACACCTGGACAATTAAGTCGTGAAATGGATAAACCGGACGTGCTTGGACACCGACCGCATGTCCGTTAGTCTAATGTTTGAAAACTGTTTTATCGGTTTCTCATGCGTTAACTGCACGTTCGTTTTACACAGTACTTACTACTTCGTTACTGAAACGGTGACGTCATTTAGTTGACCTTATTATGCCAGGTCTTCTAATCGTCCAGTTCAGTCTGTTTTATATGCATCATACGTTGATTGCATGCAAGAGTGAAAGAGCTTGCCATATGCAAAGCAGCTTTCAGATTACCAACAAATTGCGTTCTGCCTCCCTTATAGTTTTTCATCCGTTTGATGTCTTATATGGCGCTGACTGAGCCCTAAGATCAGGGACATTTTAAACCGTTAACTTCGATCGCCCAATTACTAGTCATAGATGTGACCTGATCACCACCTCAAAATTACATCTATTTTACCCAATTCATCCAAAGGAATTCGCAAACTTTTAGATAACACCAAGAAACCGAACGCACCCTTAAGGAAGAGGGAATCCGGAGACCAGGTACGGCTATATGTTAGTACCAAGACTTAAGGCACATTGTTTTTCTTTAAGTACATTGACTTGGTAAACCAAATGTTATTTACTATTTGGCCATCGAGACACACTGTGTCAACTAACTACCCACAAAAGAAAACATTACGCCATTCATGGCTGGATGGTAAAGAACAATCCGAGCGTTTCTCTAGTTTTGTAAAATTTAATCTTGAATCCGGGCACGGATAGAGCACACGGAGAGAAAAGATGACCTGATTGTTTTCAGTTTTATTACTTTTCTGAATAAGCCGATTACTCACTTGAATCCATATGGTCCAGAATGAAATACACTGTAACTGAAAAATAAAACCCAAGGGTAGACATACTTTTATACAAAATAAAATGAACGACCACACAGTGATGATTTTTTTCCTTCTTGTACACTTTAAAATGGCAGAATTGTTTTTTTAAAATACAATTTTAAGTGCTGATTGAGCAG